CGTGTCAGATCGGCAGGTTGTACGCGCCGGGTAGACGGTGGAGACCTCGCAACTCGCGAACACCAGCTCGGCATGCGGATGCCAGCTCGGCCTTACCTGTTGCTCCTTGAGATGGGCCTATGGGCCGCCGCCTCCGAACTTGTAGGAGCCGCCGCACGAAACCCTAAGAAAACTCCGAACCCTAAGGGGACACTGACTCCAACAAGGAAACTGCAACCCATTCTGCTCTATATATAGCAAGCGTAAGGACTATACAAGGTACGCCAACACGAGAACTCTAAGCTATCACTTCGCGGACAATCCTGACTGACTTGGCCGTCGGAGTTATTCCGGGGACACCAGTCCCGCACTTGATCTTTCTTTGTAGGTACGTTAGCTCGGCTTCCTCTCTCAGGTCGCTTGCGCCTGATCAGCTCGGCTCGCTACAGCTCAGCTCGGATCTGGTTTTTGGCAGTCGCATCAATTGGCACCGTCTGTGGGAAACACGTAACTTCTCTTGCGAATCATGCCAAGAACGAGGTCTCAGAGGAATGCCGATGGATCCAAGGGGAACGGAGGAAGCGGCCCCCAACAGTCTGCCCGGAGTCCGACCCCTGGAGGCGAGGGGACGGGGCTCTCGCAGATCCCGCCGGAGCAACTGATTCAGGCGGTAGCAGGAAACCTGCCCACTTTCGAGGCCATTGTGAATTACCTCAGGGGGCAGACAGGAGGACATCTGGGCCAGGGGCCGAAGAACTCGGAGGGTCCAACCGAGTCCAGGACTGGGAGCCCCAACCCCCAGCTCAAACGCGTGCGCCGGGAGCCCTCAAGTGAGCACATCGACGTGGGGGAGCCCACTCACAAGCACTCCCGGACTGAGCACCCGGAACCTGTCCGGGGGTATTCTAAGGATGAACCCGCACCTCGGAAAGAGCAGCTCCAGGTGCAGGACGAGCTGGACCTGCTCTTGGATGCCGAGGCGGACAGGTACATCGCGTCCCCTTTCGTGCCTGATATAGAAAACTATCCGTTGCCCGCAAAGTTCAAGATACCTAGCATGAAGCCTTACGATGCGACCACGGATCCGGAGGATCATTTGTTTGCATTCATGACCCAAATGCGTCTGCAAACTGCCGCAGATGCGGTCAGGTGCAAGACTTTTCCCATGTTTCTGGAGGGGAAGGCACGTCAGTGGTTTCAGGGACTTCCCCCCAGGTCCATTAGGTCCTTTGCTCAGCTTGCTCGGCTGTTTGCAGCCCAGTTTGTCTCATCACGAGCCTTCTCCAAGAGAACGGCGCACCTAATGACCATTCAGCAAAGGCCTGAGGAATTCTTACGCGAATACATGGTGCGTTTCAATAACGAGTCCCTTCAGGTCAGGGATCGCGATGACAAGGTGGTCATGGCAGCCTTCATCAACGGGCTGCGCAAACAGAAGCTCTACACCGAGCTGGTGAAGAGACCACCCAAATCAGTTCGGGAGATGCTAGACCGCGCGCACGAGAAGGCCAATGCGGAGGAGGCCAACCGCTTGAAGAGTGCGCAGGAAAGACTGAGAGACGACAAGCGCAGGAGGGGCACTGACCAGGTGGATGCGCGATCTGGCTTGGGCAGGAAGAGTGCCTACGACCGTCCACCCAGGAACCGCCCCATGGGGGGAGACAAACCCTGGACTACACTTACTGCGCCCTGCGCTCGGGTCCTCGCGGTGATGGAGCAGGAGGGGCTGTCCCGACCTCCCCGACCCCTGGGTGGGGACAAAAGTAGACGAGACCAGGGGCTATATTGTGCATATCACCGAGACGTAGGGCATGACACGGAGGACTGTCGTCACCTTAGGAAGGACATTGAAAAATTGATCAAACGAGGTCACTTGGGGCAGTTCGTACGAGACGAACGAGCTGGTCCCCAACGGGAAAGGCCTAGGTCGGAACGACCGAGCTACCCCCTAACCGACCTCAGGGGCATCGAGGCCGAACTCCCGAGCAGGAAACACAGAATCTGGCGGGGGTGATTAACACCATTGCCAGGGGACTTGCCGGCGGGGATAGTCATACAGCTCGGCGGCACAACCGCCCCCTCCCACGGGGGAGAGCTCGGCGAAGCGATTGAAGGTATATGAGAAAATTATCTATGGACCTGAGGATGCAGTACCTCTGGCTTCTAATAACCATGAGGCCATCGTGATAGAGGTCGTCACCTGTAACTACAAGGTGAAAAAGGTATACATAGACAATAGAAGTGCCATAGATGTGTTGTATTACAAGACCTTCAAGGAGCTGCAGCTGGAAGACAGGCAACTCATCCCGGTGCGAACTCCGTTAATCGGGTTTGCAGGTCCTCCCGTGAGGCCAGAAGGAATGATAACCCTCATGGTCACAGTGGGAGCTTCACCGAGGTGCCGGACTGTTCCGGTGAACTTTGCGGTGGTGAAAGAGCCCTCTTCATACAACATGATCCTGGGACGGCCAACCCTGAATGCCCTCCGAGCTGTTTGTTCCACTTTGCACCTCAGTATGAAGTTCCCCACCCCGGATGGGGTGGCAGAGGTGCTCGGAGATCCGGAAGTAGCCAGGGCCTGCTATATTGCCATCCTTAAAGGCAAGGAGAAGTTGGTAGCCCAAACTACTTGTTTAGAACCTTGGGAGCCCCTGGAGAAGGGGGAAAGATTGGAGACGGATGAAGGGCTGACCGAGTTGCCTGTCCGCCTTGACCAGCCTGGGCGCACGGTCAAGGTCGGCACCTGCCTGGGCGATTCAATTCGGGATTCCTTGCAATCTCTCTTAGAAGAGTACGCAGAGATCTTTGCATGGAGTGCAGATGACATGCCAGGGGTCCTGACCGAGCTGGCCGTTCACAGGCTGCATGTGGACCTCGGCGTCCGACCTGTGAAGCAGAAGAAGAGGAGCTTTGCTCCCAAGCGAAAGGAGGTCGTCCGAGGCGAGGTGAGTAAGCTGCTGGAGGCTAAGATCGTTAAGGAGGTCTACTACCCAACCTGGCTAGCCAACCCGGTGCTGGTCAAGAAGGAGGAGAAGGCATGGAGGATGTGTGTGGATTTCACAGACTTAAATAAGGCCTGCCCAAAGGACTGCTACCCATTTCCACGGATTGATCAGCTGGTGGACTCAACAGCGGGCTATGAGATTTTCTGTTTCTTGGACGCTTTCAAGGGATACCATCAGATAGCCCTGGACGAGGAGGATCAGGAGAAAACCTCGTTCATCACCGAGGACGGAACCTATTGCTATGTCACCATGCCATTCGGGCTAAAAAATGCAGGTGCGACCTATCAGAGGTTGGTAAACAAGTTATTCAAGAATCAGATCGGCCGAAACCTGGAAGTCTACGTGGACGATATGTTAATAAAAAGTCGCACTCAGGAGCAATTCATCTCTGACCTAAGAGAAGTTTTTGAGGTCCTCCGGAGCTCACGGATGAGGCTAAACCCAAAAAAGTGTACCTTTGGAGTCAGATCGGGAAAATTTTTGGGCTACATGATTTCTAAAGAAGGGGTGAGGGCTAACCCGGACAAAATCAAAGCTATTATGGACATGGCTCCACCTCGAAATATTAAGGAGGTGCAACGTTTGACTGGGAGGATGGCGGCCTTGAACAGGTTCCTGTCTAAATCGGCAGTTCGGGGTCGCCTTTCTTCAAGGCCCTGAAGGGAGGTCGGCAGTTTGAATGGAGCCCGGAGTGCCAAAAAGCGTTTGATGAGCTAAAGGAGCACCTCGCTCGGTTGCCAGCCCTGACCTCTCCCGAGTTGGGGGAAACCCTGTTCATCTACTTAGCTGCGGGAGAGGGGGCCATTAGCGCGGTGCTGGTTCGGGAGGAAAACAAAGTCCAGAAACCCGTATACTATGTCAGCCGCGCCCTGCAGGGAGCCGAGGCAAGGTACTCGGCTGTAGAACGGTATGTTTTGGCATTAGTACATGCAGCTCGGAAGCTCAGGACGTACTTCCAAACTCATCCTGTGGTGGTTATGACGGACCAGCCCCTGAAGCAGATCCTCTCCAGGCCCGAGTCCTCGGGTCGAATGGTGAAATGGGCTGTGGAATTATCAGAGTACGATCTGGGATATCAGCCTAGGACAGCCATCAAGGCCCAAGCATTGGCAGACTTCATAGCAGATGGCGTTTCCTTTGGACCGCCCGAGGCAGACGTCAATCAGGCTAAAGCTTTACAGACCCCGAAAACTACCAAGACCACGCAGACCCAAGAAGCAGCAGAGGTCGCGAAGGCCGGAGACGCTGCCGAGGTCACCCAAGTCGTCCAGGTAGCAGAGGTCAGACTGCTTGATGAGGCAGCTATGGCCCAACAGGCCGAAAAGGCCACCAGGAACAGACAGGTCGGACATGCAGCTGAGGCCGAACAGACTCGCGAGACTGCCAAGGTCGAGGAGACTAAGGAGGCAGCTGAGGTCGAACAGGCCATAGACGCTGTCGAGGCCACGTACCCTGGAGAAGTCGTTAAGACTGAACTGGCCAGAGAGACTGCCCAGGATGGAAATGTTACCGAAGCTGTAGGGCGAGCTGATCCCGTCTGGACGTTGTACGTGGATGGCGCGTCGAGTAAAGAAGGATGTGGTGCCGGACTCCTCCTAATCAGCCCCACTGGGGAAGAGCTACCCTATGCACTAAGGTTTGATTTCAGAGTTTCTAATAATGAATCTGAGTATGAGGCTCTAATTGCAAGAATGGAGATGGCCAGGAAACTAGGTGCCAGGTCGTTGAAAATTTTTAGCGACTCGCAGCTGATAGTGAACCAGGTAGGGGGAAGCTACGAGGTCAAAGAGGGGGCGCTGAAAAAATACGTGGCCAAACACACACGAACTAAAGGGCCTGTTCGAGCAGTTCGCGCTGGAGCAGATCCCGCGGAGCCAGAACAAGAGAGTTGATGCCCTGTCCAAACTGGCCTCCACCTCGGCTGGCGTCCTAGGTCGGGAGATAGTGGTGGAGGTCGTCAGAAGTCGTGCGTATGACCAGGTCAGTACTGCGGTCATCCAGGTGGTGAACTCTTGGATGGATCCTATTGTTCGATACTTGGCACAGGGGGAGCTCCCCCCGAGCAGGATAGAGGCCCGCAAAATTCTCCTTAAGTCGCAGAAATACACGCTCGCGCAGGGAGTCCTATATAGGAAATCCTACTTGCAACCCTGGCTGAAGTGTATAACACCAGAGGAAGGGGGCTATGTCTTGCGCGAGCTGCATGAGGGCATTTGTGGTAATCATGTGGGTACCAGGGTATTGGCCAAGAAGGGAATGCTGGCCGGATACTATTGGCCCACCATCTTCCGAGACTCGGCCGAGCTAGTGGCTCGGTGTAAGTCTTGCCAGTTACACGCTCCAATTCATCATACTCCCACTCAGGAAATGATCCCACTCAGCAGCCCCTGGCCGTTCTTCCAGTGAGGAATTGACCTGCTGGGACCATTCCCACGAGCTCCGGGGGGTTATGAATACTTGGTAGTAGCTATTGATTACTTCACCAAATGGGTGGAGGCTGAGCCCCTCGGTACGATCAGCAGCAGGTCGATCCAGAAGTTCCTGTGGAAAGGCATAATCTGCCGATTTGGCATACCCAGGGCTCTCGTCTCGGATAATGGCCGACAGTTCGCGGATCGTTCGCTCCAAGAGTGGTGCACTGAACTCGGCATCCAGCAGCACTTCACCTCGGTAGGGCACCCCCAGGCCAACGGGCAGGTCGAGAATGTCAACAGAACCATCCTGCACGGTTTAAAGACAAGGATAGAATCTGCCCGGACGGGTTGGCTAGACGAGTTGCCCACTATACTTTGGGCTTACCGGACTACGCCTCGGACGGCTACTCAGGAAACTCCATTTGCTCTGGCCTATGGGATGGAAGCAGTAATCCCTGCGGAAATTGGGATGCCATCATCCAGGGTGCAGCACTTCGTGGCCCAGAGCAACGAGGAAGGAATGCGGCTCGACCTGGACCTGCTTGAGCATAGAAGGGAAAAAGCAGCTATAAGAATGGCTAAGTATAAAGGCCAGGTCGCGCGTTACTACAATGCCAGAGTAAGGCACCTCTCTTTCAAGCCAGGGGACCTGATGCTACACAAAAATTCCGTAAGCCGAGCTGTGGGCACAGGCAAGTTAGACCTGAATTGGGAAGGCCCTTATGTCGTAAAGGAAGCTGACCGAACAGGTTATTGCAAGCTAGCTCGTCTGGAGGGAGGCGAAGTCCCACGCACTTGGCACAACTCAAATTTAAGGCTTTTTCTTTAATATCCTGACCGAGCTGCTAATAGCCAGCTGGACAAGTCTGCTTTTGTTTTATTAGTTCGGCATTTGAATTATAAATGTAGTCAAACTTTGGAATAAAAAGAAATTTTTACAAGTGTTAGGAAAGAAAAAGGCCACATATATTCCATATCACAAAGCATGTACAGGTGGGGGGCCATACAAAGGCGAGCTGGCCAGCTCGGTCCCTAATCTAGCCTAAACCCTACAAGTCTGGGCTATGCCCTATTTGCTCAGCTCTCCCCTTGCTGTTCTTGCTCTGGCTCTGGGGAGGGTGCGGGAAGAGTTGGGTCGGCAATCAAGGCGGCCAGGTCGCGGTCATTGGAGTAGCCTGTGACGAGCCTGTCAATTTGGTTGGTGGATTGGGGGTTGTAGTCAGGCCATTTGCTCAGGTCAAAGCCCGGCAACTTCAGGGACTCCACATCCATCAAGGCTTTCGTGTAGCCGAGTTGCAGGACAGGGCCGTTGAGGAGGGCTAGGTCATTCATGAAGACCTCAGACTTCTTGAACTCTTTGACGCCTAGCTGGCGCCCTTCCTCCCTTGCCGCCTCCACCAGCTCGGCAGATTTTTTCTGCTCTGCCTCCAGAGTCGCAGCCAGTTCGGCCGCTCTCCTCTTTTCCAGTTCGCAGGAGGAGTTGGCATCCGCAAGTTGCTTCTTCAGGGTCTCCAGCTCGGACTCTGCAGCCTCGAGCTGGCTCGACAACTTCTCTTTGGCGGCGTCAACCTGGGACAGGTTGACCCCCATGTTCTCATACCGCTGAGCCAGCTCGGCCCTCGCAACATTGAGCTGCATATTAGTTACAGGATAAGTAGGCAGTAAAACTCGAAAGGATGCCAAAGAAAGTGCTGGTTAAGAAGCTACCTGGGTGGTGCTGAGGTAGAAGTGCTCTAGCAGCTCAGCGTTGGTGGCAAGTTGGATGAAGTGGTGATCGCGGGGGAGTACCGCGCCCTTGACGAGCTCCTTCGCCACTTCAGGGAACTGAGCTTGGTCGTTCACTGACAACCCCCACTTCGGGCAGAAATGGAGGGGGTGCGGGTGTGAGCCCAGTTCGATAGGGGGTTTCATGGAAATCACATTCCTCATGCGTCACATAGCGGGGGGAGATTGTGACGAGACCTGCTGCTCGGCGGAGCTCACCCCGTAATGAGAGGTAACGGCAGTAGAGGGCTCCTCCTGGGACTGGGGGGAAGCCGCCTCTGTCCTGGCCTTCTTGGCCGTGGATTTCTTTCTTTTCTTCTTTGGTCCCTCCCCCAGTGAAGACTGAGCGGCAGTCTGGGGAGTGGACACAGGTGGAGGTAGAGGAACCGTGCTGCTTGGCGCAGTGGAAGGCGCGGGAGTTGGCGTGCTCGCGCTACCAGTTCCGCCAATGTTCAGCAGCTGGGAAAACCTCTTCACTGCAGGACAAAAACACTTAGTCAGTTAGGGTGATGTGGACTCATGGAAAGGAGGAGGTCGAGAAAATTACAAGCTGTCAGCTCCTCGGGGGTGATAGGTCGGAGATCGGGGGCAGGGTCGTTCACCTCTGCTCGGATTAGCCCCGCCGACCAGAGCTGGGCATTGTTAAATTCCTTCACCTTCAGTTGAGCTTCCGAGCTGACCAAGCGGTCTAGCTCGGCCTCGGGCAGAGGAGAAGGGATTGGATCGGTTACCTGGGTATCCTCCCTCCAAGTTAGGGGAGGAAACCCAGTATTCTTCACAAAAAAGAACTGGGCTTTCCAGCCCTTGATGGAAGAAGGCATATGAGTGAACAGCTCGCGGGTAGGGAGTTCCCCTCCCCTCCTGCGAGCGAAGTAGAACCAACCATGAATTGGGCCGCTTACCTTCATCTGAAAGAAGGACCTAAATAGGTTCAGAGAATAAGGGATTTCAAGAGCTCGGCACAAAATAAAGAAGCCGAGGATGGACCGAATGGCGTTGGGAACGACCTGGGTGATTCGAATGCCCCAGAAGGTTAGGATGTCATAAAGAAATTGGGGAATGGGAAGGCGAAGACCAGCCACGAGCTGATCCCTATAGATAGCTACAAACCCAGGGGGAGGTTGGCAAGCGTACTCCCCTGGCCGGGCTGCCCTAGCCTCGAACTGGGGAAGGATGTCATACCTCCCCACCAGCTCATCTACGTCCCCCTGGTCGAGAAGGGGGGGAATAATTTCGACTTCTCCAAAGTCGATGTCTGGCCCCCTAGGGGGTCCTACCCTAGAGCGAGCTAGAACTACCTCCAGAGGAATCCCTGGGACAGCAGCTCCAGCCCCGGGCTGAGCAGATGGGCCAGGTTGGTCCATGGCTATAGCAAGAGGTGGGGCTGGGGGAGGAAGGTATTCAAAATCAGACGAGCTGGAAGAAGAGGGGCTGGAGGAAGGTATTTCTATGAGTGCAGGTCGGGTAATCCTACGCCTAGGTGCTGAGCTGGTAAGGTCTGAGTGTGTGGAGGAAGACGACATAAAAGGAAAAGGAGGACTTACTGGTGGATAAAGGAGAAGAGCTGGGATGTGTTTAGAAGGTAATCCTACTCTCGGACGACCTCACGGAATGCGGAGCGAGCTGAAAAAGACTGGAGGAGAAGAGAAAATGAGAAGGGAGGCCTGAAAGTGACGTTTGGTGGGGCCTATTTATAGGCTCCCTGGGCGGGAAGCCGAAGAGTCCTGAGGAAGAAATACGAATTTATTGCAAGGGGGCGGTTACCTTGGAAGACGCGTGAGCTGACAAACCGCCATCATGAAGGACGTGACCCTTGAAGTGACGGTTACTACGACGGACGTGGTGGCTTTTCGGAGGAGGTGCGTGATCGTGGGATCATGGGTCCCGCACGAATCCGACGTGACGCTTCGAAATTTGGTCCAGACCCACGTGACTCATCAGTGACTCTAGACTCAAGGGGGCTAGTGTAGGGGGCAAATCTGCACATGACACGTGTCAGATCGGCAGGTTGTACGCGCCGGGTAGACGGTGGAGACCTCGCAACTCGCGAACACCAGCTCGGCATGCGGATGCCAGCTCGGCCTTACCTGTTGCTCCTTGAGATGGGCCTATGGGCCGCCGCCTCCGAACTTGTAGGAGCTGCCGCACGAAACCCTAAGAAGACTCCGAACCCTAAGGGGACACTGACTCCAACAAGGAAACTGCAACCCATTCTGCTCTATATATAGCAAGCGTAAGGACTATACAAGGTACGCCAACACGAGAACTCTAAGCTATCACTTCGCGGACAATCCTGACTGACTTGGCCGTCGGAGTTATTCCGGGGACACCAGTCCCGCACTTGATCTTTCTTTGTAGGTACGTTAGCTCGGCTTCCTCTCTCAGGTCGCTTGCGCCTGATCAGCTCGGCTCGCTACAGCTCAGCTCGGATCTGGTTTTTAGCAGTCGCATCAAACACCAATTTGCCCCACGTTTATATAGAGTTATCAACACTATCATCATTATCTTCATCATCTCTACTGTCTCTTTGAACCAACGATCTGACCCTCTTGTCACCATCTTCGCCTCCCAACGATGTATTGAAAAAACTACAAAATCCCAAATCCAATCCACTTATCTACTCTTGGGGAGTAGATGTACATTTGTTTTTGGCTTCAATATCAAAGGAAAGGAATTTTGAAATGATAACTTTTTTTATACACTGTAAATGTATAATTTATTTTATAGTAACTGGTTTAAATTATGTCACATAATGTGACATGTGATATACATTTAAAGTTGCTAGTGTAAAAAAATTACTATATTATTAACGCATAAAAAAGTAATTCATTTTTAAAAATCATGATTTATATTTTCATTGGTAGTTCAAGAAACTATAGAAAAAGTAATTAATAGATCTGCAATTTAAGCGGTACTCAATTTTAGAATGAAATTGACTACTTCACTCATTCAAGGATGGGAGAGTAAGTTAGAAAATTTTGAATGGTTTAGAATTGCAATATGTTGCAGATTAATTTTTTATTTCGTCATAGGTTCTCAATTTAGTGTAAAATCAACCATAATAATTGTACTAGGACATTTCTATGCAATTAGAACTACATATAAAATTTAGAACCTCTCTTTTTAAAAAAAAAATTAGGATAGGTAAAAACAGTCACTCGCAAAATGCAAATTTCAATATGGATCATAAATTTGAGAACCGGTGAATACACACATACACACATTATCAAATTACTTGTCACCCGTCAATAACTCTTAATTAATATCAAATCCTAACGAATTACTCATCGACCCTCTAATCGAATTAACCATCGGATCGATTACTAGCTGGTATTGAATTTTATCCTATCCACTGCCATACGTACATAGCCCTACTCCCCACTCTCAATTAAGCAGGCATAACTCATCTCAGGCTCGCCTCGCCATAAAATAAAATTGACAATAGCGATAAAGGGATAATATTTGCAGGTGGTGCCTTTCGTGTCCTGAGGGATATCAAGGTTCGGGTATTCGTTTCATATTTCCTTCACCATTAATCCTCCCTAATGCACACCTTTTTTTGAAAGATTTTCTTGGTATGTATCATATCATCTACTATACTGGAAATGTCAATAACCCAACCTGCGATACCTCTGTCATGTTACTCAACTTTACCTTCTTTCTGGAATCTCACTCTTATCTAAGAGCCAATTTGTGCATTCAACTGGTTCAACGTGCTTTATTCTGTGTATATGGTTCTCTTCAGAGGCTGAGGTACTCCTAAGAAAAGGGATTGGTGATAAGACAATACACTTAAAGAAGAAACTAAAGATCAGTGTTTAGGTTACATTTATTGGACTCAAACTCTAGATTAGGTGGCATTTCTTGAAATAAGAGATCAAAGGCATAACTAAAATGAAAACAAATTAAGGTATTAAAATTATATGACTGCTTTCATTTTGTTTTTTTTTTTTTTTTTGGGTAAGCTTTAAGTTGCATTTCATCCTCTTTTAAGTTTTGTTTATCGCCACTTTACCATCATGACTAAGAGCCAAAATTGATGGTAAGATGTTTCATATGAGACTATGACTAATGATTTCCGTACCATGCATGGTCCAATTTCTTTCTTTTCCACCTTTTTTGTTTGTCAAGTCTATATGCCGACACATATATCCTTCATTGGCACCAAAAAATTTCAAATTAACCTCACTTTTTTGTTCTAATTTATCATAGTTTGTGTGACTGTTGTTGAAAACTTTTCGTAGTTTATTAACCGAATGCTGTTGACCATGCAATGGTATATGTTAAACGTATATCACTATTTTCTTTCAACAAATCTACACCACATTTTTAATGCAAAAAGAAAATTACTGCTTCATTAATTAACTTAAAATACATACATACATACATACATATATACCTAAACCAGAATGAATATAGAGAATGAAGGAAGGCAAATAAAAAAATGTGGCCAGCCATTAGGGTTTAGCGTAATTAAACCCATTAGTTGTTCTGCTTTTGTAAGAACATAAATGATTTACTGTCTTAATGATTCGGAAAGTTGAAACTCCAGACGTCCAGGAAAGTTGTCTCTATCCGGAAGATATATGTACACATATACCATCAAAGATTCAAAACTACCATCATAATATTGGACTTCAAATTTCAAAATACCGCCCTTTAATCACGGAGGAAAATCTTCTTCCCTGCCTGGCAAAATAAGGAGCCTTGTCTTACATATTAATTGTGACAACATCAAACTTTTTTCTCTCTTTATATTTTAGGATGGCAAACCATAACAATATCTATAAAAAAAAAATGAAGAAGAAAGGAAAAGACCATTACAATAATCATTCTTCATACCTTAATAAGATATTGCATGGATTTGTATTCATGTGCACGTTAGTACATGAGTTTGGTAAATGAAAATTCTATCCCAAAGTTTTACTACGAGTAAGAAACGAAGTAAGTGTGACGTTTTTAATATGCAATACTATACATGGAAACTATTAAGACCTTAATATATATCCAATACTGATCATATGGGATAAAAATGCTCCCCACAAGTACAATGTATTTATTTCTATAATTCTTCCTCTAAAATAGCCCAAAGCCAGCCCACTCGGCATCGTTCACCGGCCGGGGTGATGACCGGCGGGATGAAAATGAAGAAGAAGATGGAGAATCCCAGAAAGGAGACATGGACGCTCTACTTGAAACTGACCAAGGGGACAACTTTCCAAGATCCGAAGCACAGTCAGGGTCGGACTTGGACTCAGGTCGGACCTTAAGCTTGTGCTGCTTCTTTGTTTTCTTTCTATCATTCTTCATGCTGATGAGCAAAGGAGATGTTGGAAAGCATCCACTGGATAATACATTCTCGGGTTGTGCGACAGTGGAGTTGTCGAAATGGTAGCGCTCCGAACGGGTTCGAGGAGCGGACGGAAGGGATCGGGTACGGGGCTCCGCCTGAAAGTAGAATCCGGCAGGTGGAGGTGCAAGTTTTGTTGGGGTGTCAGGCAATGCACCACAATCTGAATTCTTGTTTGCTGCGTCCTTTAGTTGTTCCTGCAGCTGCTGTCTGAGAACAAATGAAGGACTGCAATGAAAAGATCTTCTTTTTTGTTGATGTTGTTCGGGTTGTTGGAGTTGGGCCTTTGGGACTCCGGGTCGGACCTCCCACTTGAATGGAACAGCCCCTGGCTTCTTAAATGAATCATCCACCACGGCCATACTACCCAAAAAGGCGATTGGGAAAATTCCCTTTTTTCCCTTTCTCATGTGCTGAGTGTTGAACTCTATTTATATAGAGATGGAGAAAGATTGGGGAGGGATAAGGGTCATGGTCATCATGATAGGCATAGTCTTGGCTTGATTAAAGGCGTTGGAGGTGGGGTTGGTGGACCTTTAGGGTATACAATTTTAATTACCAATTTGCATTTGCTTATATAGCATGCATGGACTTTTCAGTAGATCGGTAGGTGATTAATCCTTTGTTTGTTTGTTTCTTTTCCCTATTCTTGATTGATGATCATATGAAGGTGATGTGGTCAACCACGTGCTTGTGTTTTTCTTTATTTTGATTTTGAGTGACAACAGAAAATGTATGCCTGGATAAGCATGGATCCAAGAATAACATAGGATTGTAATTTTCTGAAGTTTTTGTAGAAAATATATTGTAACAATTTGATTTATGTGAGGTAAACGATCACCTTAGTATTGACTATGAAGAAAGCAAGGATGATTTATCCGGGCAAACGTGTCTCATATGGAATAAATAATAAGTCATTTTTTAGTGATTTTGCATTATTTTGTTGAACATGTCAGTCAATTAATTTACTTGTATTTTCCTTCTTGACTGGTAAAATGCTCCTTTGTGGAAAAAAGGGGAGATCAATGATAGCAAGGTCAAGGTGCTTAGGAAATATGCTTGATTGTTTTAGAGACGATTGCATCACCTCATACTTGGAAATAAAATGATTTAAAAAATGCATGAACTCAAGCTTTGTCTCAAGTCACATACACACCCTCATCCATACAGGAGTTATCAATGCCGTATTTACCGCTATGTCTACGTATACAAAGAGTAATTTGAGCTATTCCAATTTTTTTTTTTAGAAAAAAGCTATTCCAATTTCAAATGATGTAATTTATATGGGTTAATTCCACTTTATATGGGTTATACTTTCATCCCTAAAATATAGAACTTATTCATTTTAATCCCCAAAGTGTGACACTTGTTCCAATTTAGTGTCTAAAATATATCCACTTAGGCGTAAAATCTATCTCACTACCTTAATGAGTGGGACAAATTTTATGGTTTAGGAACTATAAATGTATCCACTCAGGCGTAAAATCTATCTCACTTCCTTAATAAGTGGGACAAATTTTATGGTTTAGGAACTAAAGTGTGTCAGTTTTAAATTTAAGGACTAAATTGGAAATTTACGTATAGTTGAAGGGTGCAAAGTGGAATTAACCCTAATTTATATCCCTAAATTGCACCTCAAATTCATTTAGGTAATGACAAGGAACTAAATATGCAGAACTGTGAGTACATCGAATCATCATAACTTTACCATAGGGCAAAGATTTCGCATATGAGAGAGAGAGAGAGAGAGAGAGAGAGAGAGAGAGATTCCAATTTTGTGGTAGCTAAAGAAAAATAGTAAATAATTGCTAGAAAAGATCTATCCACCTAAAATTAGGTGGGTGTCATGGGTAAATTCCAATTGCAAAGTTTGAAATTTCGAATGTTAGTAGAATGGTATCAAGAATGAAAAAGCACAAACAATGGAACTTCGTACTGCTGTCTCAATTAGTATGTCCGTTAAATGGTCCCTCAGCAAGATGATTGAATTAAACGGTGCTTAGGTTTGAATAAAACTCACAAAGTCAACTAATATCATAAGCGTGGAACCTAGAGGAATGGGAAATGTATAGTTGAAAGACCTTTGTACCTAACAAGTTAGACTAACAGAATTTGCACAGTTCTATTCAAAGTTTTCCTATCAGTTGCAAAAATTTTACCATAAATTAATTGTTCAGGAATTTCATCTCAAGTGGAGGAGAAATATGCTCTTTTGGTAGGAAGGGATATTTTTCGATATTTTGATAGTTCAGAAGGCAATATATGGACGGAGAATCATTCTAGAAGAGGCCAAAAATGCATTCCACCAGAAAAATGAAAGCCGAATTTACCTTTACCTGTTGATTGAATATAAAATGCTTAACCGTGTTTTCCTTCCTTTAAAGACCATCTACTGATCAAACAGTTCTTGGACCAAACATATAGAAAAAAGAAAAATGAATTTAGCAGCAATATGAGCTATTTTTAATCCTTTAAATACTGCAACTCAGGACCACCAAAGGCCAAGACATTTTTTTTGGTTCAGTCCTGCATTGTGGGAACTGTAAAGCGTTAGCTTTCACATATCACAATGACTAACATGATGACTGGAAACATTTTGGACCTTGCAAAATTTTGGATAATGCACGAGAGTATTAAAGAGGACAAGTCTCCAGAACTATATTAAGCAAGCCATAGGGTTACAGATAACAAAGAGCAGCAAAACCATCATTAGTAAAGTTAATGACACCAAATATTTTAGACAAAAACTGGAAAACAGAAAAGGGCACCATAAAATTTAAAATGAGCCTAGCAGATCTAAATGTCTTAGCCATCTAATTCTCATACCTAACTCTCATAACATAATTCTTGTGGCAGGTTACAAAGTGCTTGCATCGTTTTGCTGGCCACATCCAGCAGCTGCAAATATTCATCTGCTCCATCAACAAGACACTGAAAAAACCACCAGACAAAACATGAGTACGAGTCAAAACTTGTACATGTTCCAGTGTCAACTCAGAGCAAAAGGAAAGGGGCCAAGTCAAAGAGCCAAAGTTATGGAATTGTGTGTTGAGTTATGGTTGGTTCTATTGTGGGGAAAGTTGATACCATAAGCAAAATCAAGAAATCAGTGATACAAGCCCCATGCAAACAATATTCCGGTAAATTGCTCACTAACAATGAAAAGCATATTCGACATGCACAGTTCCATATTAAGGCTACCAATACTGCACTCTCAGGTCAATAGTCCATAAAACCAGCATGAAAGTTAGAGAATTCCACAAGTTTCTGCATATGAAACTGAAACTGAAACTCAAATCCTGGAAATTGTACGAGGAGTCCAAGTAATTGGTCAAGGGATATTCCTTAATACTGTTCTATATAAATCCAGACAAACACTTGAGCATTTTGAAAATTTTGAATTGACTGATATGCAAAAACACCTTATCTGCTTCGCCCAATTTCTTGCATATTCTTGCCTTCTGTTCATCTGATATGTCATCTGCCTCAACAACTAAATCGAACAACTGGAAGAAGCATCACATCAGTATCTAAAAAGTAAAAATAATTGGTGTAGATTTTGCTGCATGCAAATAAAATGGCACCTGAGAGAGCATCTGAGAAACTGGATATCCTTCAGCTATTACATTCTTGACTTCCTTGTCTGCAAGGTCAAAATTACCACTTCTGCAAGCTGAATAGAGAGCCTGAACAACATCCTCAGGAATAACCTGAATATTTGCCAGACAAAAGGGTCAAGCATGTAGCAGGCACCATAGACCACAGTAGAGAACTCTGAACGAAGAAACAGTAATCCGATATTTCTCCAATCTAAATTCAATGATGAAGAGTACAGTAAGCAGGACTTTGATCAAATTGTCCTTCCTTTTTCCATCATTCTCCAAGGCCCTGCATGCTATCTCTTTTTTGGGGTATTTGGGATGGGGTTGAACTCTACAGGATGTACCTTATAACCAGAATCACAATTTCCACAAGAAAATATCTTTCTCCGACATCAAGGAGGCACAAAAGATCCTAAAAGCGTGTCGTACAGATTATTGCAATAAAAATGCTAATTCTAGGCAAAATCTAAAGACATCACAATAGCCCTTAGAGAGCAATTAAAATTTATAGGAAGCTTAATGGGGAAAAGAAGGCCCTTGAAAATTTAACCATGCGAAGGACAACTTCACATTTCCTATTTGCCACAACAAAAAAGAAAGAAAGATCTAAAATCAAGCCATCGCTCAAGCTCATGCTGAACTTTGGCCATTTTACAATAATGGCATGAAAGTTACATGTAACAAAGCTAACTCCATATAGGTGGAATCTTGTAAAGCAATTCAATTTCAAAGAAAATGGATAAAAGATTTTGACAAAGCAGTGCCTTGAAGTTTTCTTTCAAATTTTGGAGATCATATAGATGCTTGTTGAGCATGTTAAATAGTGGTATCAACATCTCCTATAACTTACTTCCAACCACCTTACAATTCTCAACTTATAGGTTTTAAAGTCGAAGCTATTTTTTGGGTTGGTGTCTTGCAAAATCCAAATTACAGCTGGGTAGTTATTGTTTCTGGAGACTGTTAATAACATTAGGTTGACACCTCAAACTTTATTACATGCTTCTTTTGGACATTTTCCAACACCACCCATTTCAAATGCTTAAAGAGCAGATGATATTCTCATGTTCCTTGCCAAAGGCCCCAAAAAATTGGAAGTTAGAATCCCCTTTCTCCCTCCTGCATCAGTAAAGGCCAAAAGGACATTCCACAGCCTCCACCAAACCATCAGGACAGGCAATCACATGTACAAGACTACCAAACAATCATAATCGTATATCCATGATTTAACAACACATACTCAGTTGACAGGGTCTGCATATAAATAATGAATATTAAAAATTTTACCTCCTAAGAAAAAAGTCAAGCAAACGTCAATGACAATCAATGTGTCTTTCATAGTACTCAATGTGTCTTGTCAAGGACAGAAGACAACTCTAACAAAGCTTTCAACCATGCATCTGAGAACAGAAGGGTACATATTGCCCTAGTACAATGCAGCACAAACTAAAGCGCACTAGACAACATGTGAAAGATAAGAGATGTAAGATTTATCAGGATTAGAACACAAAAAGAAGACAGATTTTAGGATTAAAAGCCAGAACCAGATAAGTTAGATGACTCATGCACTGTAAAAATATGCAACATAAGAAATCAGCCTTAGCAGACGAAAAATTAGTTGTTGTAGCCACTCAACAAGAAAACTAAAGAAATATTAAAGCCCTCAGACACATTAAAATCTGAAACCCATTCTCTCTTACCTTTTCAAAGACGCTATTAGAACAAACACTTGACAAGTCTATAGTAACCAACTTACCCCAGAAACACTAATTAAGTCTCTGGATG